ACATTAGCTCACTACATACCAATGATTGTAGCTATATAGAGGGGGCCGCTAGGAGGCTGTGAGTCTACTTGAAGAGAACAATGACAAGGATCGTACTTACCTTGTATTTTCACTCCTTTCCTCGCTTCTAGTTGTGATTGATCTGTTGCTTCATATTTAGGATATCGGTGAGGTGCATGCGTTAGGTGGTGAAAAAGATGATTTGTGGCTTTTTTATAGTCTTTTTCACAACTGTGACAGGGATGATTAAAAGGAAGATATACTCTTCTAGCATGGTTCGAAGATATCCTTATCCACTTAATGCGATAAGAAATTTGTATACAGTTTGTTATTATAGCATTTGACAAATAGTCTTGATTTTGTTGATGTGGCTATTTTAGTACCTGATTTTAAATTTGGTTCTATATAATATGTTAATTAAGATTTTATTCTATAAATTATTTTTTTTTGGAGTCAATCCCATAAAATCATCAAAAACTTTCCCTTATTAGAAAATTCTGTCTTTAAAAACCTCATTAGCTAATTCATATACTTTTTAAAGACCATTAGTTATTTATTATTTTTCAGTTCAGTTTCAGTTCATTGTCTCCCCCACCTTATTGCCATCTTTCATTGAGCATCAAATAATATCACAAATCAAAGCGGAATTATTATTACTTATGGCCATTTAATTGGACTTTCATTCATTTATGTTTGCGATGTTTGCTCTCAATTTGCCAAATTACTGGGTCCATACAACCCTAAGCACACACTCGCACATATAAATACCAAAATTCCGAAATACAAAAATACAAAAATACGAGTAGAGCTAACCGAATAACTAATTCCCACCAATACGGATGCATGGGAGTCCTTGCACACTAGTTATGGAGCTCATTAGTTTTATTGCTATGGCATATCAGTCAAAGCCACAAAACTATTTATGCGGTGGCGCTGTTGGTGGCGGGGACTGTTTCCGCTTCAGCTTCCTTTATTATTAATTTTTTTTCTGTTCCTCCTGGCGTGGAAGGTTTATATTCATTTAATTTTGATTTTTACTTGCTGTATAATTGGCGATAATATTCTTAGTTTGTGTGTTTGCTCGGACTTTAGGGAGGATTTTGTCTAGAAGTCATCCAGCAACTTAGTCTCTTCTCTAACTGTGTGTGATGTGATGTGTTCTGTGTGCTTCTGTAATGTTTACCTAAAGTGTTGTTGTGTGATTGTCCTTGATGGAACTCCTTCGTTGTGGTGACTATTTGTTCTTTGCTTTATATTGTATTTAGCCATCCTTGCCATTTGTACTGTGGCACTTTAGTACTTTAGTGCTGTAGTGTTGCCTCTTAAGTCTCTTGTAATTTTCTTTTAATAAATTGGCAGTTATCCTTTTAATGTTTTTATTTATGTTGCCGATTTTACTGCCATTATGCTTGAGTTTTGTACATTTGAACTATTTTTCTATTTTTTTCTAAGTTTGCTGGTATAGACTAATTCAAAAAGGATGCCTTGAATGCTTTCCTTTCACATTTGCTCCTTTGAAATTTTTGTCCTGGTCTTGTTTCAGATTTTGACTAAATGCAATTCAATGTACTTTTAATGCTTGAATAGTTTTTATTTGTTTTTCAGTGATTTTAATTAATTTAAAATTATATTTCCATTAGCTTGAGTGTAATGCCTTTTGAGTGCTAATTACGACTTTGGCATCATTTTTATTCTGCAGGATAGTGATTTTACCAAAACACAAAAGTTGCTTTATTAGGAAAAATTTTTTTTTAAAATTGATAATAGAAATTGACTTGATATAAATTGAAAATTTAATAATATATAAAACAATAATAAATATTTATATGGAACGCTAACATTTGTTAATTAGATAAATATATTCTTGCTAGATGATTGATTATTCATGATCTAAATTTCTAATACCCTCTTAATCTATTAAAAAGATAGGCCTCCAAACCTTGTGGATTTTTTCTGTTATCGAAAATTCCCACTACGTCAAAAACATATGTTGTGAATGGCTGCAGACGGTGAATACAGAAGCGAGAAGTTAACAGAAGCAAGAAGGGTTCTCAGTTAAGGAGAAAATTTTTGAATAGTGGATTAAGTACTGATATATGGATGTGGACTAAAATTTTGGGCTATTTGGAATAAATATCAGGAAAAAAGAACTACTACGCTTTCGTTAAATTTTGAATTCCAAGTTTTCTTGGAGTAACATATTCTCTCCGTTTATTATAGTTTTAAGTGTTGCAATAGTTCTGATTAAAATATGTAATAATATAAATTATCTCCTTCTCAAATTGCTCGCCTTCACCTGCATGTGATGACCCTGCTAAGCGTAACAACCTTGTCTAAGATTGGGCACCTCACACAAATGGGAGACAAGGAATGCAACAGAGGAGTACTGAAAATTCACTATATACGCTAGTTTGGTGTGTAATGGAATATGACGGTGGCGGATAAATTAAACCAAAAGTCAAAGGTACCGTCAATGGGTTCAATTAAAAAATCTTCACGTTAAAGTAGTAAATTAGCCGAATAAGATCTTTTTGTGTACCCGACAAGCAGTAAATGCCGCTCTATGCTCCAATAGGAAGATAGTTAAACACACATATGTGTATTTGTTATCACCAAGGAAATAAAAAAATAAAAATATTAACATAAATCACAATATTTTTATAAGAATTTATTTAGCTTTCAAAGGTTCATGTTCCAAAAAACTTGAACACAGAGAGACCCTTAACTATGGTACTCGAAAATGTGACGTAATGTCAAATATATGCGTTATCAAAAAAAACTTTTTTCATTAAATATGTTTACAATCAATATATTATATATATTAAAATTGTGAGATAAAGGGTGTAAAGTAATCAGAAAAAAGTATAAGCCAAACCATAGTCACAAATTTACTTCGTAAGAGAGGATGGGATGTAACTTTCAGATAAAATACTGGAACAACTATACCTTTATTTCCCATTTAGTCATGATAAAAAATATTGATAATGAATTGACAAATGTATACATATTCTTCGATACCCTTAAATAGCTGAAGTCTTCTCTCTTCTTGGCTATGTGCTTAGCTTAAGTCATCTTCAAACAGATATATGATGTGAGGACACGAGGGTATATATGTTTCGTATTCTCGTGACCCTTCGATGCCTTAAAACCACTGAAATCTTCTCTCCTCTTGGTTATGTGCTTGGCTTAAGTCATCTTCAAACAGATACATGATGTGAGGA